ACTTTGCATCTTTGCACTTTACGCCAGCGATATTTATTAAATCAGACAAATTTTAAAGTAAAATATTTTTTTTTAATTGTATTTAAAAAACCATGTGATTGAGGAACGTATACTTCACAAATAATAATGTAAATACCAGATACTTTTGAAAGTGACGATTAATAAAAAAACATAAAACAAAAATATACAAAAACAATTTCTCTAAACATGTTTATTCTACTCTACAAAAAAATGGCGAATGGAGAATTTTTTGCCATTTTTTTCGCAATTTACTAGAAATTATGAGGGTGTACGAGTCAAACGGATCTCAGAATCGGATTCAGCGGGTCGAAATACATGTTGGTAGTTGGGACTGGTTAAAAACACACACCCCTTTTGTTGCTGGTGTTGATATTATTGCACATAAAATGTTTTCGTAAGAGCAGCAAAGCATTCAAAGCGGAGTCTTCTAAGCTTGACCTGCAGTTTTTACATACAAAACCTACTGATGAAAAACATATTTCGGCATCAACACTTTTAGGCATAACTGTCAAAAGGTAGACATAATCCATAATGACGCCCATCTCATCCATTACAAAATATTTGAACTTCTTTTACCAGCACGTCGGTCAAATTATAATTTTTTCGATTTGAGGAAGTTTTGAGTAGATTGATCTAAAAAATTATCTAACTTTTCCTTAAAACTCGGTTTGGTTTACATGAGCGACGCTATGAGTAAATTCATTGAAATCTTCTTCAAAAAAATCTCAGACTGCAATTTAAAAGTACAGTTTCAAGCTTTTTGTTGATTGCAGTCAAAACGGCATTTTACAAAAATCATACTTCAAAATTCATAAACAAATTCTTACTATCAATTCGATATTTCAAAATTTTCGGGATCCCGGGATTAACGCAAGGAAATCCCGGGATTTCCGGGACGTCAAAAACACCGAGAATCCCGGGATCCCGGGATTGGCATCCCTAGTATGCACAAAGAGGTAAGTGTAGCTATAGTAAAAGAAAAACTACTTCCGTTTTTGTGTTGTGCCACTTAACATTGTCGCCGTTGCTGCTAACGCCATATTGATTGGTACGTACGTAGATAGCAGTTCGTCCTGGTGTTTGTATAAGCACATTTAAATACATACATACATATATGCACATTAGGGTGCCTCGTGATAAAAAAATTGCCTTTATTAAAAGGGGAATTACAAAATTCATACAGACCTATCGCCAATTCCATGTGAATAAATCGATCCCACAATTTAACATGCAAAACAAAAACAAATTGGGAAAACAACAACTCAAAATTACACGTTCGTCAGAAATGCGAAAAACTATTTCTTAGCACATGCTAATCATATGCTCCAGCTTTTGCTGAAAGGTAAATTAAAGCTATGTGTACATTTGTAGTGCATATATAATTTCAAAAATGCCAAATTCTGAGTTGTGCCAGTTTTGAAGATCGTGTGCGATATGACTCTTAAAATATTTCGGAAAATTTATATTTACGCGAGCTGGACTGATTTGAAAGTACACTCTAAAAATTAGTTTTTTATAAATATTTTTTTTATTTAATTTAATTTTTTTTCCAAAAAAATTGACTCAGATGGTAGCAGTGTTTAAGCTTAAAAGGTCTACATGAAATGGTTTAAAAATTTTATTAACCGAATCAAAATAAAGACATTTTTTGATTTCCAAATCGGCTTCTGCTCACTTATAACTTTTTTTTTTTCGAACTATTTTGGCAGAAGTCTTAAAATATAAAAAGTTTTATAATTCCATTTTTTTGTATGGACAGTGATGTACCCTTATATATACCAGATACATACCAGATACATGTGAGTGTATGGAGTTTCATTTCTTTGCAGCTGTGCTAGACCATTTATTGGCTGCATAATTTTTTTTTTTGTATGGACAGTGATGCACCCTAATATACCTACATACATACATACCAGATACATGTGAGTGTATAAAATTTTATTTCTTGTATCTGTGCTAGACCATTTATTGGCTGTATAACTTTTTTATTTACAGCATATGAGTCGTTTGCTGAAAAACTTTGTCACAGGAAGGCGCTGCTGGATTTTTATGAAAATTTATAGTGAAATAATAATTTCGGTTATTTTCTGTATTTATTTAATTTCTCACAGTTCGACGAGCACGATTTAACTTCGATACTAAGTATTTTGTTTTTTATTTTTTTGACATGTAATTAATGGACAATGAATTCACTGAAAAAGTTTTGGCATATTTTATTTGTTTGCGAACAAATTTTATTTAGAAATCACGCATTTGCGTGAATTTGTGGAAATTCCGTAAAATTAAAAATGCAATTATTTAGCTGAAATTATGATTAATTAGAAGCAGCGAATTTGGCTCGATTTGAATTATGCGGAAAATTTAAAAATAAATAAAATAAATTTAGCGGAAAATTTGCGTATTTTTAGTAAAGTAAATAGCTAATGCGTTCAATTAATCAAATTGTTAAAATGTCCGATTTGGTTTATGGATTCCAATGAAATGCGAAAATTGTGTTGGTTGGAAACGAAAAAAGAAACATATATATATAATTATGTGTGTACATATGTTGTTTTTATATTCCAAATTTTTCGTGAAATTTTCCAACAATTTAAACAATTTCAATTAATTGTAATCGAACTATTCTATGAATAATTGAGCAAATTGTAAATGAAAACAAATCCATTCCATTTGGTGCGATGAACTGTTAAACGGTAAAGTTTTGGTTTTATTAAGCTTGATTTTTTTGATATTTTCGGTGTACATACGTACATGCGTATGTAATATGATTTGCTTTTGAATAATTTTATTAATTTACAAAATATTTATCTAATAAAAAATCTGTAAAGTAAATAGTTGAGTAGTACACAGTCATACCTACATATTTTGTGACTTTTTAAAACAAAATGTGTAACAAATAAATTTTAATTTGTGACGGTATTAGAAAAAATACATTTAACCAAAACTAAACAAAACGCAAAAATCTAACAAAATATAAGAACATAAAAAATTAAACAAAAGCAAGAACTAAAAACGGCCAATAGAATTAAAATTACAAAGCAAAAATTTACAGATAAAAATAAAGAAAATTAACAATAACAAAATAAAGCAAAGTAGAATTAAAAAAATGTAAGAAAAAATAAAATACAACAAAAAAATAAACGAAAAAGAAAATAAACTTCAGAAATTAATAATAGAATAGGATATTGTATAAATTAAACAAATAAAAAATAAGATGGAAAACTAAGTAGTATAATATAATAGAAAACTAAAACAAAACAAATTCTAAATAAATAGATTGTAAAGAATATAAATAAAATAAGAAAATAAAAAGTCGAAGTAAATATATAAAAATAAAAAGCTAACTTAAACTTCAAAAATTTACTGAAATAAAACAAATAAAAATAAAATAACAAAAAAACTAGAAAGAAAAAAATAACTAAAAATATTTCAAATAAATTAAAATAATTTTCGCTATCTACCAGAAAGATATAGTAAAATAAAACGATAAAAATTAAATAAAATAAGGTAGTATTATAAAATAAGAAAATGAAAAAATTTAATCAAAAATGTAGACTAAAAAAAATTTACTTAATTATTTAAAACAAAATAAAAACAAAAAATATGGAATAAAATAAACAAAAAAATAAAAAAGGTTAATTTAAATAAAATACAGAATAAAGTAAGGACCGTTTTTTCAAAAAAGTTTTAAAATTTGTCTGCCCTTTAAACACAAATTTTCTTCTGAAATATGTGTTCAAAGGGCAGATAAATTTTAGAGACTACTTAAAAAAACGGCCCTAAAACAAATAAAAATAAAATAGAAAATTAAATTAAATGAGAAAATAAAAAAGATATCTAACAAAATAAAAAAGTATAATAAAATAAAACGAATAAAAAAAATAATAAGACATAAGTAATATTAAGATTATCTTAAAAAAATCAGGTAGATATAAAATGAGGCGTATTCTTGTTTTGATACGATTTGAAATTTTTAAACCCAGCAGCTATATGCGCGGAGGCTTAAGCACTGCGAACCAATTTTCGCATCTTTATAGCGTGGTCCAGATCCCGCCTTTTCAACCAGCACATTACTTCAGCAAAACTTCTTCTGAAAGGAATAAGTTTCCTTACTGCTGCGCATTTTTTCCGTTGATCTTTATGCCATTATTATACCCTCTATACTCTTAGATCGTTGCGTCATTCTCGTTCGCATTCCTAATTCTTTAGCCTAAAACCATCTCAAATGAGGAGTCGCTAAGAGAGGCTAATATGGAGCCCCTTGACATGAAGCCTCTAGACATCCGTAGACCTGGGAAAGAAATTCCCTAAGCGGCAGAAGCAGTTTGCCTGACAGACCGTGTAATACGTGGACATGAACAGTGAATCGGGTGGCCAAAGCAGCTCGGGATAAGCTGAAAGGAGCTCAAAGCAATTGCCAGAAAGAGAACCAGATAACACGCTGGAGTCTTTTTTTACCCTCTTAGTGTGGGTAGTATTTCTTAAAGTACCAGTCAGCAGATAGTAGCTACATAAAGGTTCCAGGGTCGGTATGAGTCTAGCAGACTTGCTCTCAACTACTTAAGCCAGCTTTCTTGTTATTTCCCTAGGTTGATTCCCATCTCTGCCCGTGAGCTTCGCCCTGCTTATTGCCTAATATGTATTCGACATCGATTTTCTTTCTTAAGATGTAGACGTAGGCTTTATGCTTAATAGATCCGCGCCAAGGATGAACCCCTTGCGCTAATGTTAGCTTAAGTGTGTCTAATGCCCTCAGAAGTATCCTACGTCAGCTATCGATTTCTTAAAGAAGTAACTTATAACTAAAGTCGCCAATATGTAGTACTACTCATTCTAGTGAATGGCATGCTCACTGTCTTGCTGCTGAGCTGTTACTCTCACAAAAATACATATAATTGCAAAATAGTTCGCTTTCTTCATAAGCTATTAGCTTCACTGTCAATTTAATTAATTACTGTTTTTTTTTTTTAGAAACTCACCTCAATGAGCGAGATCGCCAGCATGAAGAATGGCCAATGTAGCCTCAAATCATTCTTCAAGTACGCCGCTTCCGGATCCGCATTACAAGCGTATTTCTTCGTCTGTTGTTGTTGTTGTTGCTGATGCTGTTGCTGATGCTGATGTTGATGCCGCTGCTGATGGTGGTTTTCCTGCAGGTATTTTTGTTGTTGCTTTTGTTGCAATTTATGCTGTGCCTTCTCCATGTAAATGTGTTCACCGTGTCGCGTGCAGCAAGTGCTACTCGCTGTACTGCTATCGGTGTCGTAGGACGAGGACGAAGCGGACAAAGTGGCTGTGGAAGACAGCGACGATGCCAGTGGTACCGTCTCTGCTGCTGGAACAGTGGGTGTGTGGGTGTTTGTCGATGTAGGGCAGGATAATGATGTCGCTGCCGGCAGTGGAATGTCAATAATGGTTGCTTCAATGGCGGGCAGTTTGTCGACGATAACAACGGTGTTTGCTGTTGGAGTTTGTTGCTGCAGTTCGTGTTGTTCAACAGCAGGGATGACCTCGTCAATGGATTGCTTTTGCTGTTGTGGTTTTTGTTGTTGTTGTTGTTGCTGCTGCTCTTGCCATATTTGTGCCGCAAATTGCTCCATTTTCGTTTGGCTTGTTTTTTGTTTATTTTTCTTTAGTTTGGGTTTTTTTGCCTAGTCTTTATGCTTAAGTTTTTCTCGTCGTTTCGTTTCTTTGTTGAAAGATGTAAATGTTTGTTTTTCACAATTTTTCACGTGTTGTTGGCGCCGCTGTTGACCGGCGGTGTTTTTTGTTTGCCTTTCTTAATTTCGTTTTTTTTTTTTGTGCGCTTCTCGTGAAGCTGCTACAACTTTCTTCTTAGCGGTTTTTTTTCAGCTTCGCTTGTCGCCTTGTTCGCGCGTTTTGTTTATCTGCCAGACGTTAATTCACGCGGCGCTTGCCTCTTTTTTGTTCGCTTTTTTTCGAACTAGCTGAAAGAAGATAAGAGAAAAAAGAAAAATTAAAATCAGCTTGCAGTTAGCGGCAAGTGTGTAGAAAAAAGCGATGTATTAATGAACTGTGTTGCAGACTTTTGGCTGGTTAGGTGATCGGCACTCTTTCGTTGTGTGGCCGTTCCGCCACTTCCGACATCGCATCGAAGCTCACGAAAATTTTCAATCCGCAGCCAATCAATTGCGCTGATGATCAATATGCATAAACATGCAGTTGTCTATATGGCATACAGACAGAGGTGCAATTGAAATATGGCGAGAGTGTGAAAAACAGTATGCAGTGTTTTCAACACTCGAAATTCTTTTCTTTTGTTCGAAAATCTAGGCCAACTTGAAGATTTAAAGAAGTTTGGAGGTTTTAATGCGGTAGGTTTTGCTTTTTGTTGTTAATTTTTGTGCCAACCATGAGGAGGCAAATTATTCTTAAATGTTCACTTAGACTGTGGTTATTTGTTGTAAAACTGTTTGCAATAATTTACAAAAAAAAAAACATAAAAATAAAATGTCAAATTTAAATTTTTCAATTATTAGTGTAATCTATTTTTTTTAATATGGCGGCAACTCTGGTGGGATTTTTTTAAATTATAATCTTTAGCTTGGCCAGTAGGGTTTTATGAAACAAAAATGTATGCTATAATTTATCTATTGAAAAAATTTTAATTTTTCTAAAAAATAAATAACTTAATATAATTATATGTACATATGTATGTATGTTTGTTTTATTTCATTTTATGTTATGTAATTAAAAATCTGATGTTACTTTTACTTTGTTTTTGGTTTTATTTTTATTTCTTTAAATTAATTGTTTTATTTTTATTTTAAATCTTCTCATACTTTGTAATAATCTACTTTTTGGTTTTTACTTTTTTTAAATTTTATTCTTATTAATTTTATTTATGCGTACCGGTTTTCATTTCATTTTATTATTCTATTATTTTATTTTTATTGTATTTTATTAAATTTGATTTTCTTTAACTTTAATTGCATTTTATTAAATGTTGCTTTGTTTTATTATATTTCATATTATTCATTTTAATTTTTATATTATTTTGTTTTGTTTTTAAATTTAATAATTTTTTTATTTTATTGATTGTTATTTTTTCAATTTTATCAATTTTTTGCTTGAAAATATTTTATACAATTTATATTTTTATTTTATACATTTTTTGTTTTCAATTATTTTGTATAAGTAAGGCTTAATCTAATTTTTACTTGATTTAATTTAATTTAATTTTTTTTTTATTTTATGATAGTTTATTTTTCATTATTTTATTTTGTTTTACATTATTATATTTTATTTTTTTTGTTTTAATTTTTTAATTTAATTTTTTTTAATTAATTTTTTATTTATTTCAGTTTTCTTTATGTTATTTCTTTTTATCTTATGTTATTTTTTGTTTTATTTAATTTAATGTTTTTTTAATTAATTTATTTTATTTTTTCATTTTACTTTTTTTGGGTGTAGTTTGTTTTATTTTTTTAACTTATGTTATTTTGTTTTATTTGAATTCATTTAATTTTACTTTATTTTGGTTTAGTTTATTTTATTTTATTCCATTTCATTTCGTTTTACTAGAGTTATCTATTATTTTTATAATTTACAGCTTTCATTTTGCCAATAAAATGAAATTACTATTCCCATAACTTCAGTATTTTTTCTCAGAAAAATTTCTTTAAATTGATGATTTTTTTTAACTTTTTTGTCTGCTGGTGGCAACTGTGCCTCCAAAAAATTTCAAAGGTTTTCTGCTGAAGTGCTTTCACATATTCAAGTAATAATTTTGAATTATTAAATGGTTTTCAAAATATGTATGTAAAAAAAAATATTTTATTATTTATAATATAAATCAACATTCTTGTTGACAAGTACATTTGCAAGCCAATATCCAAAAAATTCCGTATCATTTGGTATCCATTTTGCGATATCTATCGACTGTAGTTGCCAAATTCCAGCAAACTAATGGCAACTCTGTTCGTAAAAAAATTGTATATTCCGAAAAAAATCGCTAAGCACCGTCAAATGGAAGCTCGTGTATTCAAATGCATAACAGTATGCCAGCGTATGTATGTATATGTATGTATGCATATGCAACTAAAAAACATGATGAAAAAAAATAATAAATTCGAAAAATTTTGTAATGTTTTTTTTATTTGTAAAAGAAAATCCGCAGTTTTATTGCATCACTCTGTACATGCAAACCTACGTAAGTATGTATGTACATACAGTACAGTAAAAGTGCATTCGCGTGCACCGAAAAGAGTTAAGCAAGCGTTAGCTTGCACTCAAGAGGTACTCGCAAGTTGCAATATACCATTTATGTACTAAACAGCAAACTGTATTTTTCGTTGTTGTACCTTTTTTTGTTAAATACTTTTAAACAGCAAGGCTTTAAAGCAGTGGTCGGATTCAGTAAGTGAGACTGTGTACGTTAAATGCACTGCTCTTCGTATACGTGTGAAACACACATGTGCTGAGAGAGCGCTCACTGAACTATGGCTCGTATGGCACTGCCGTAAAGGCTTACTCAACGGTAGCAACTTGAAGTGAGTTGTAGCAAGTTTTTAGGCGTTTACGCGTATTCCACTTAATGTTTGCACACATGAATACAGTTTAGTAACAACCAGTGCATACATACATACATATATATGCACATTAATATGCATGTATGTGGTAGTGCGTGCGTATGCCTTTTACAAATTTTATGATTGTCGTGCCCTACATTCCAGCGTAATTACATACATACTTAAAAATACATATGTACACATATGTATGTGCATATGTATGTAGGTAGATAGAAGCATTTCAGCCAAGTAAAGTACACTAACCCAACTTTACTGCCTACAAATTCAGGCATGTTGAGCTATGTAGTCCCTTGAGCTTTAGTTTCACAACAATAAGCGCACACCCTCGCATGAGCAAACGTTGTATTTGCTGTTGTTGTGCGTAATTTGAAATTTCCAGGAATAAATTTTAGATTAACTTAATGACCAATAAATTTGATAGCTAGAAGTATGTGTATACATACATACATACATACATACATATATGCTCTGTTACAATATGTATGTATGATAGTGGGGGGGGAGTTAAGATAAGTATGTATGTACATACATATGTGTAATCAAAAGTATGTTATTTATTTGTAATTAACCCAATTCCTACATGCCCACTCTGTCCGCCAAAGAGGTGGCTATTGGGAATTCCACTATAGACAACACGCAGAAGGGCAATGTGTTGTACTCGAGAATTGCTGAGATTGCAAAAGATTTCTCGAAAACAAATAAACAAATTTATGAACAAGCCTATGCGCATATATCTATACAGTTAGAAATTTGATTACATTGCCATACTGCATACAGACGCTTTTATGAACTAAAAATTCTTGGAGATTCCCCTTATACACTTCTGTTGCTCATTTATTTAATATACTCCTATGTTTGTGTATATTTATGTACAACAATGCGGCACTTTAGCATCACACTTAACAATAATTGGGGGAGTACTTTTCTTAATTTAATTCACTTCTTTTGTTTGTGCGGTTGTTGTTTCTTTGTTACCCAGCAAAGCGCTGTGTGTGCGCATCCGAGTTTATTGCCATTATTCGCTGTTGTTGCCGCTTCTTTTTTTGGGTTGCTGACTCAATAGCAAAAAAAATAAAATAAAAAATAAAAAATAAAAAAAGTACTGTCTGCACGCTAATATCTACATAATTATTATTCGTACATACTACATACATATTTACATACATACATACATACATGTGTATGTAAACACCTACATATGTGCTATAAATTTATGAGCATCCGCACAGCTCTCGTGGGTGGTGGCAGTTTTTCTTTTCGGTTTCACTTTTAAATATTAAACGTACAGATTTAGTATATATTATTTTATATTTTTAATTGTCTTTGACTTATCTATGAAATATGTTTGCCATTTTTTTGTGCTTTTCATGAATTGCCTTTCTATTGTTGTTGCTGTTTTTTTTTTAGATCTGTATGACTTTTATCGGCTGTTGTCGCCAGACAGGAGCCGGTTTTAATTTCGTAAATGTCTCTGTGGGGAAAAAGCTAAAAGTGATTTAGCTTAAAAATTTAATTTGAAATATTTTTAAATATTCTACATAAATTTATAGCCAACAACGAGAACACTACTAAACTGAAGAAACAAATTTAAGAAAATTTTTAAATTAACACTTTATTTTTTATTCGGTGAGCACATATTAATTTAATTTGAAAATTTAAGCTAAACATTTGATTTTCAACTTGTTTTTGAGGTTGCGAAAAGTTTTATTTGGTAATAGTAATAATTTGTAAAAGTTTTGTTGGTAATAAAATTGTAAATTATTTTTGATTGAAATGATTGAACTGATTTTTCTGCTGAAAGTTCAGAAAGTCACTAACTTATCAAATTGTCGGTATTTAAACATTTCCTATTTTTTTTTTCAAATCTAAAATACCCTATTAACTATACTAAAATTATGAGGGAATTTTATTTCATCAAACACCTCCTTTAGTATACATATGTACATATCTGTTTGTGTACACAAGCGTACATGTTTTTCCATACATATTTGCTGTAGGTGCTTAGCTACGCTAGAGTCCATTTAAAACATTATTATTGTCATCATTTACCCACAAAATTGTGGATGGTTTAGAGCTTCTCATACCCCATGTGCGTTTGTATGTTGTAAATATATACATATCTAAATATATATGTATGTATGTATGCATGGCACGAATGTATGCATATGCATATGTATATGTACATCCGTATGTAATTTCAAAAGCGCTGTTGTTAAACACTTTAGAAAATCTTCGCTAACAAATTGTTGTACAAACGAGAAAAAACATTTTTGAATTTTGCTACTTTATTTGCAGAAAATCAACATCAAGGTCTTATTATTGTTAGCCATATAATGTTGCTTTGTGTGATTATCTATATATGTATCTATGTATGTACAAACATGCATTCAAATACA